TTTGCCACTGATGCTGCCATGAAAATATTTGTTTACGTAATGTCTTCAGAGACTGTATAAGCGAGTGCTCTAGTTGATCATCCCCAGATACATAACGACCACCCCATCTCACATTTCTTCTCATAACAGCTAACACGGCACTTACTTCCGAGTTAACCATACAAGCTATAGCAGTTTTATTTGAAGATGTGGTCTCGCAATCTTCTGGCTCCTCTTCAATTGCTTTGATACTAGATTGTATCCTTAAACGCCCCATCACGGAGAATGTGTAACTTGAATGACCTCTGAATACGTAATCAAGAAAAAGCTCGCAGGAAGAATGCTGAAGCAAGTCAAAGCATACCCCTCACTGTCTACAAAAGACACCATTAGAATTGGCCATATAACAATTTCAGGAAAGCAACTTCTCAAAAACAATGATAAGAAAGCGAAACATCCTCGGAATAGTGGTTAGATATTGAAGCCATATAATGGTATTGCTTCTTATCCCAGTAAACAAGCAATTTTTTATAACCATGTGTCCAGGCCAACTTGCATGCCCCTCCACTAATTACACGGGTTACCTGCGACCTCCCACCACACAAGTTCCGAGTAACTCTCAAAAGCACAACAGCATCATACCCAGTATATTCCCACAAGTGGGGTCTAGGGAGTTGAGCTGTACACATGCCTTATACCTTTGTGGGGTAGAGAGGTTTCAGATAAACCCTGGACTCAACAAAATAGTTTTCCATCGGTTTGAAAGAATTGCAAGAGTAAAAAGCTACTATGAAATATTTGGGTTTTCTTTTCAAAAAATATTTTGATATATAGAGTCCACTCATTTCACATTGGAGCTTTGTCTAACAACAAAGGCATAAATGTCTCCAAAGTATAACGAACGACAAAATTGAGCAATTCTTGATAGTACAAAGGGGTATATGTTTGTAATTATTTTGCTTTTATGGGGCATTTGCTTATTTTACCCCAAAATTATTATTGTCCTCAATTCAATGCATGTTGTTCCATTGGGAATTTATTTAGCACCGAGCGAACCAAGGGATGAAGGGTCACCCATTAGTTGAGGCATAAGACCTTTAGTAGGAATCTGTTAGACCCGCAATCTACTTGATCTAACTACGTGCAGACATGCCAAGGACTTGGGCATTGGTCTTGGCATGGATGATGGCAAAACAGTGCAACACAAGTTCAAGGTGCTTGGGTGTTGGCAAGGCAGCTTGAACGTGCATGGCTTACGTGCGGGCTAAGGACGTTGGCAAGACAGCATGTTGACTTGATGAAGCAAGGCTGTGAAGACTTGGCAAGGTCAAAGACAAAGGCAGTTCACCTGAAATTGCTGAAATAAAACTAAGTGTGGAAGACAGCTAAAATATTCTAAGTGTTGGAAGCTGGCAGGATTATTCTAAGTGTTGGAATGAAGCCTGAAATATTCTAAGTGTTAGAATATTAGTATTTCGTGTAGATAAGAATGTAATTTGAATAAGATTCTATCTGTTGGAAATATAGCTGTTGGAAAGTTAGTTTTGAACCCTGGGCTGACATGTGTCGGACAGGTGTCATGTGTAACCGCCGCATGTAACCGCTTGTAACTGTCATTGTGCAGAATTTTGATTTAAGGCGGAAATTCGTCTAAGGTAGGGGACATAGAGTTTTCTAGCCTTAGACTGATTTGTGAAGCCTTCCTTTGTATTAATTATCGATTAATAAAGGTTGGGACTTGGTCTTGTAAACGCTGCCTGTTTATTGTTTGACATTGCTGTTTAAGTATTTCTATACTTAGTCAATTCTGTGGGTGTAAGTAGGCTGAAGTATTACAGACGCTGTAAGACTGCCTAGAGTGGTGTGCGAGAAAAATAAATCGACCCTCTTTCAGAATCTCTTTGTCCCAGAACTACGTACCACCACAAAATGAAAAAGGATCTCTCATCAATTGAGGTCGACTCCTCAGTCTCTTTTACATACATTATCTTAGTGGCTCCACATTTTCTTAGATCAACCTTTATACTTTGGCAAAGAGCCCTTTTGATGGGGATTATACATCAAACTCCATGTAGTAGCTCCCATGATTATATGTAGGTTAGTAGTATCTGTTATTTCGGTACACCATTGTTATCAGTTTTCAAGTTATTTACTTGGTTATTGCATCAGGCTTACGTCACTTTTCATGTCACTTCAATTTATTATGCTTAGTTGTTATTTTAGCATGCATGCCTTGCATACTCAAGTACATTCTAAGTAGCGACTACATACTTCCTGCCTATATTGTTTGATGATATAGATTCGGACGTTCAACACTCAAGTCGAGGTTAGTATGACTTCATATCAAACTTAGCAGTGCTTTTGGTGAGTTCTCATTTTTCAAGGACATCTTTTACATTTCATTCAGTATTATTGTCCTCAGTAAAATGCATGTTGTTCCATTGGGAGTTTATTTAGCACCGAGTGAACCTAGGGATGAAAGCTCACCCATTAGTTGAGGCATAAGACCTTTAGAATTAAAAAAACTCTCTCGTCAATTGAGGCCGAGTCCTTAGTCTTTTACAGACATTAGCTTAGTGACATTAGCTTAGTGGATCCACATTAGCTCAAATCAGCCTTTATACTCTAGCAAAGAATATTAGGCCCTTTCGATGGGGATTATTCATCAAAGTCTATGTAGGAGCTCCCATTATTATATGTCGGTTAGTATCTCCTACAATTCGGTCTTTAGGTTATTACAGGATCAACTGATCAAGTATTCAATTATTTCAGTACACCATTATTATCAGTTTTCAAGCTATTTACTTGGTTATTGCATTAGCTTATGTCACTTCAATCATGCTTAGTTGTTATTTAGCATGCATACCTCGCATGCTTAGTACATTCTAGATACTGACTGCATACTTCCTGCCTATATTGTTTGATAATACAGATTTGGACATTCAACACTCAAGCCGTGGTTAGTATGACTCCATATCAGCTTAGTAGTGCTTTTGGTGAGTCCTCATTTTTCAAGGACATCATTTACATTTCATTCAGTATTATGCTTTTATTTTCAACAATTACGAGTTGGTTACAAAGTGCATCAACAATTGAGCGTTGGAGACTAAGTGTGTCAACAATTGAAGTTTGGTGATAAGTGCATAAAAATTTTGGTGACTAGTGCATTCAACAATTGAAAATATAACTTTGAATAATGGGAGAATGTTGGAAGACTAATTCAAAGTAGGAATAAAAAACCAAAATTGTTTACCATTTGATATCAGATAGTTCATTTTATTAATATCTAAATATATATGAATATGTTTTCACTTTCTAGTCAAAATAGGTTCTACACTATTATAAACATGAATTATATTGTACTGCACATTAAATTTACTTGAAAAAAAGTCATTTTCATCTGAAAAAATAGAAAAACAGATCACATCAAACCTTAAAATCTGAATAATTAAATAAATTTGACTGCTTGAAAGTTCTGATAGTATGTTACTATTATAATAAACATCATTAGCCAAATAATGCCAAAATAATTAGCTCAAATAGGAAAAAATGGAGTTTTTCATTTAATTTAATAAACTTAGTGGACAAACAAATCACTACTTACCAGACAAAAATTAATTCTCAAAATTAGTGAATTTTATAAGCAATATTTTAACTCGACTAATTAGCAGTTTGAATTATTAGAAAGATCACAATACATTACGTAGCTATAGAAGCAAAAAATAACCAGATTACGATATATGAATACTCGAAACGGAGAGAACAAAAACTAAACCTCCAAAAATTCATAGTTTTTACGAAATGTGAAGCAAAATTAAATACATAAGAGGAGTTAGGGTTTTTATCTGAAAAAGAGCAGAAAATGTAGAACAGAAATGGCGGAACTTACGGCTGGATTACGTCGGAGGAAGGAAAGGAGATCCCGAGGAGTTCGCCGGAGAATGATGGACTTATTTGAAATCAATTGTAAAATGTAGGGCCTTGAAAGTGAATTTTATAAAGTTTAGTAGCCCTTTATGTCCAATCAAGTTTAGTCTGTCACTGTAACCTCAACTGGTTTTACGATTTATTTAATTTTTAAAAATAATACCTTAACTAAGAGTATATTTATTAATATTAAAAACATGATTATTCTCTTTTTCATTTTATTTTCACATTGAAGTTCCGATTAAGGTTGTGGAAAATATTTTTCAGACACATTTTAAATTTAAATTGTATATCGAGTTCATTTTGAAATATCGCTTCTAACAAGATCTTTTTCATAGTTGATACTCAAATTTGAGATCATAAAGGTGAAACAGTCTTACAATAGCACTATAATTAGTGTTGGTAATTTATATGTACATTATTAATAATAGTTTTTAAATATGTAATTATATGTTGATTTTCACTGAAAAATAGAGTTTATTTTCAAAATTACTCAATTAAAATTTTTATATAAAAGCCAAAATGGAGGGAATAGGTCGGAGATGGGTTAAACAAGTGAATTTTTAACGATACTGAATATTTAAAATTGAAGGTGGATAAATTTGATTATTAGTTTGATATATATTTTTTTGTCAGAATTAAGAATAAATTAATATAAGTAAATTCGAGAGATATATTCGAATAAATTTTTTTAAAAAAGACGCATATTTAAACCGTACGTATAATGAGATACAATGGCAATCCCATTAAGATATATTTCAAGAATTTCTACATAAAATTATTTATTTAAGTATATTATTTTATTTTCCAAACCATTCAGATAAAAAAAAATTATTTTTTCCAGAAAAATCAAATCGATTGTTGTCAACACTATCTGTATACATAATTCATTTGCTTTAGTGCGTAATTCAATTATTTTAATATAACTTTCCTTAAAACAGAATTTATTATAATATATAAAATTAAACACAGTGATCATATTGTGAAATTAATTAATTGTAGAAGCGTTTTAATAAATAAGAAGCATTGAAAGAGTTTTTAAATATGACGATAATTAAGTGTGTAACTAACATTTATGTTCTTCGATTTTGATATGAACAAGTAAACACTTAAATCTGTATACAACTTAATAAGTAAACGCATACATCTATACATAAAAATTTATTATGTCATGTAGAATGATATGTGTATATATCTACTTGTTCGACTTTATATAAATTTTTAACATGTGCACTTATTCGAGCATCCAGAATTGAAAAGCACATACATATATATCAGGTGAAATCAATTCTAAAAGCACGATCATCTTTAACTATATATATACATATTAGCCTACTTGAAGGACTGGAACTTTTCGCCGTGTTATAAGAGACTCATTCATCTGGCTAATTTGGAGCGACAGCTGCTCAATTTTCTGCGACAATGATAATTTCTTATAATTAGAAAATTTAATATGTATATATATAAAAAGATTAACTTAGTTCTAATTGACAACTAAATATTCTAGCTTTAGAATGTACATTTAGATACACCAACTCATTCCATTATGGCGTGATACATAACTTTAAAATAGTTCATTTTATAAGTTAGAATATTTAATTGACACAGAAAAAGTAAATCTAAACATTTGATGTATATTTAGTTTATCAAAATATTTTTAAATTTCTGTAGAGGATATGTTAATTGTACGATAAATCATTACATAAGGAAAAATCTGATTTTCTATTATATATATGTTATCCTACCCTCGATTTATACGAAAAAAATAAACTAAATACTCCAAATTCCTAAGATAACTTTATACATGTTAGGTCTCAGAAGATCACATATTCATAACACATACCTAGAAATATTTATCCTACATATATAATATAATTTTTTTTTTGATATAATGTAATTTTATTTATTTTTTTTTATAGATTTTTAGTGAACATTAATTTTTACAGTACGGCAAAAATAATTTTTAGTGGCATTATATATCGACATTAATAAAAAGTGTAAAAAGTTTTATTGGCATAAGTTGAGTGTCATTAGAACAGATCAATATCGCTTAAGGTTTAGGATAATATACAGAGAGTGTTAATTACCGTTAAAAATACATATATAACGACAATTAAAAATTAATTGGCGCTGCTGATCTTTTTTCTTAATGTAGTACAAGTGAACAACTTCATACTTCTCTAGATTCGCCTCTAACTACAGTTTCAGAATAAGTTACTTTATAATTTTATTCTTATCAATTATGAGATAGAAACTCATTATAAAATTAATCTTGAGATTATTTATGTGTTGTGTCTCCTGCCAAACAAGTTTTAAAAGAACAAGAAATGGTAAAAATGAAAGAAGTAAATAAATACCTGGTCTTTTTCTTGGACAAGTAGCATAAGTTTGTTAGAAGTATTATCAATTTGTCTTTGCCTCCTCCATTTTTTCTTTATCATCCAATAAAACAATGGAACCAAAAGAAATGTCAATATTCTACTTGTATTATAAGTGAATTTTCCAATTCCAACTTTAGAAGAAGCATAATTTCTCATCTTTGAAGCCATTTGAACAATCCAACAACTCAATTCTCTTACACTCTTTTTCAACCACTTATTTCCATATTCACCCTTCTCATCATCATCATTACTATCATTATTATCAATAGTAATATCCTCAATCAAGGGCAAAATGGTCATTTCATCAGAAGCTATTTGAGTATTATTGTTATTATTATTATTGGTTGTAGTTGAAGATGAAGGATATGGGATTTGTTGCCATTCAGAAAAATCCTCATTTGACATATTTTTTTTATTTGTGGGAAAATTGGAATGAGTAATGAAATTGTGGAAGTTTAAGATATATTATAGGAGGGGTATTTTTGTCTTTATTTGCTTCATTTAGAAAAAAAAATATCTAGTGTTGAATATTGGTTCAATATTATGGATATTTTGCTAGAAGTATCTTTATGGACTTGGCAACTTGCTTCATGTCTTGACAAGAGATGACATTTGTTTTCCTTTTGTTTGCTTTTGAGATTCGAGCGGAGCTAGAATTTTAATTATTGATTTGATTCGATAATTCCTCCACCCTAAGTTGATAATATTGAAAAGACAATTAAAATGTAAAGTCTATCAAGTCATTGATAAAATTAAAAGATGAACCTAATTGTTGTGAAAAATTTGAAAGGACATTTATATGCTCCGTCCGTTTTATATTAAAATTGACCGATCTATTAATATTGTTTTTATTATCATGTGATATAATAGAGAAGTGTTTAATGCCTCTCTTAGTTTCACTCGTCTCTCTTCTTTCCCATCCCTCTCTCTCCTTCTCTTTTCATGATAAAACCGATGAATATAAGTGAAATTAAAGCGATAAAGTTTATTATATTTTTTGAATTGTATTCGTCGATACAGTCTAAATGCAAACAAATTAGTGAATTGGCTTTATTTTTGGGGAACATCCAATACAAATCTCATAACTTCTTCAACATATGAAAAAAATCACGTAAGTTCAAATTACTTAAAAAAAATATAAGTATTTTTCAAAACATCTGTGAAGAGTATTTTTAAAAATCTATCAAGACGACATAAAATGCAAGATGAGAAGGGAAAATAAATATACATATTAGATGTTAGATATAATAGACGGTTTTAGAATTTAAATGTGACTACAAGTGAATATGCAATAATATCAACATTCAAAGTTAACTCATTTCTATTGAGTTCATGTAGACTACTCGTTTGTTCCAATGTAAATCAGACTATAGGGGCGCTAGCGCTTGACTAATAAGATATCAAAGGGGCCTGACAAAACGTAATAAGCTGATACTCTAAGCTCATGTTGCTTCTTTAAGATCCATATAGGTTATATCATGCGATGTTCGAGCTAGTTTCAGATTCATCGCCATCAGTAGCTTCAGATTTGTCGACATCTCCAGCTTCATATTGGTAGCCATCGGTAGTGCCTTGGCTAGCATTTTGTTCCTGGGAACAGAGAAGAGAGTGGAGTACTAGTTAATACGGAAATAGAGCGCTGGAGTTAATTAGTTATACAGCTAACGGCACAAAACAAACCTTAGAATTGAACGTCTGTTGTATCCATTTATTCAGATCATCTACTTTCATCTCAACGTCATTGTTCATCCATTTGAGTTGGGGTGTACTAACAAATATTCCCTGTCGGACAAACGTCTCCATTTCAGGGCAACTATTAATCCATACTACTCTGAGAAATGGAAATTCAAGAGCATGCTTTGCGAGAAAGAAATGTCTCAGCTTAGGCAGCTTGCAAAGCACAAGCTCTTCCAATAGGGGAAATAAAGGCTCATTAGTCATGATTTCTTCGCCTTGACGATGTTCCTCTTCTGTGATCACTTCTTCTATTGATTGGCAGGCTTCTATAGTTAATACTTGAAGATTCAGAAGACCTCTGGCTACTGATGGAGACGTCAAGTTTCTCAATTTTCCACAATTCTCAATGTACACCGTTTCAACTTTGCTAAAGTAGGCAGTTGAGAGTTGGTGAGAGCATAGGGCAGTTATGCTGTTAACCCCAACGACTACTAGATCCACCAGACTGGGACAAGAAACCTGCAAACGTCGACTCCATTTAGTTTAATTATTGGGTAGAAAAGCAGTAACTTTGGAAGCTGAAAGAGCAGCAATGTAGAATTCAGTATGAAAATGAAAGATCAGGTAGCGGAAATGGAGAATCTGGTAAGGAAATTGCAAAGATATATACGACACATGGGTCTAACTCAACCCCAAAAGCTAACTCAAGAGGGGAGAATTACCCAAGTCCATATTAGTAATTAGTTATACAGCTAGCAGCACAAGACAAACCTTAGAATTGAACATCGCTTTATTGAGATCGTCTACTTTCACCTCATCATCATTGTTCACACTTTCGAGACTCGGTGTACTCACAGATCCCTGTTGGACAAATGTCTTTATTTCAGGGCAGTGATGAATCCACAATTCCCTGAGAGATTGAAATTCAAGAGCATGTTTCGTCCGAAAGAAATGCTCCAGCTTTGGCAGATTGTCAAGGTTCAGATGTTCCAACAGAGGGAATAAGGGCTCACTAGTCATGATTTCTTCTCCTTGTAGTTCCTCTTCTGTGATCACTTCTTTTATCGACTCACAATTTTCTATCTTTAGTTTCCGGAGATTCAGAAGACCTCTGGCCACTGATGGAGACATCAAGTTTCTCAGTTTTCCACAACTATCTACTTTCAGTTTTACAAGTTTGCCGAAGTAGGCAGTTGGAAGTAGGTGAGAGCATAGAGAACTTATGTTGTTAGCTCTAATGAGTTGAAGCTTTTCCAGGTTGGGACAAGAAACCTGCAAAAGAATGAGTTAATATCGTGTGGATCAATGACTCGCATATCAAAGAAACTAGCTTTATTGATTAAAAAAAATAAATTAGATCCTGCACTAGAGCAGTAGAAGCAGACCTTTTCATCAAAAAGAGGATTTGAGCCAAGGATGAAGTTGTTGGCTGTAGGCCAGAAATTTTTGAACTCAGGTAAGTCCATGAAGTTCATGTTTCGTAACCGAGGGAACTCTATGCCATCAACAGTGTCATTGCAAAAGTGAGAGAAGCCTTTGAGAGATACAAGGTTCAAATCATATAAGTTAGGGAACTTGATTACTTCATGTGTTCTCCGAGAGATCTCGCCTTCTTCATCATCAAGGCACGCTACTGTTGAACTTTCTCCAGCCAAGGACACAAAAAAAACATATTGTAGACTACGACACTTTCTAACCTCCAGTTTTTCGAGTTTGGGAAATGAAACATTATTCTGACATTGGATATGTGTCAATGAATCAAAAGATTTCAGGCAGAGATATTTCACATTCTGAAATTCATCCAGCTGCAACTCGGCCAGCACGTTCTTGGTTCCCTCTCCGGTTGAATGTACAAGTTCGCTCTTGCTCAACAGGTGGCGGATCCAATCACCTAATGGGGCAGTCTCGGTGACCTCTAAAGAAATATTCTTGTCGTAATCATCCATGCTTGGAGTCGCTCTGTAAGCTTTACCCACTGTAATTGCAAACTGTGTCAACTTGGAGGTAAGGCCCATGTTACTGTAGATCACATCTCCGGAACATTCACTTAATGTCAGTGCAGTCAATCTCGATAAGGATTCTAGTTCCTTCAAGGTGGAGTAACTACAATTTCTTACATTCATTATATGTAGTTCCTCCAATCGAACTAGTCTTGATAAGACCCCTGGTGAAATCATTTCCAGTGGTTTTTTCTCATTCCGCAACTCTAACATGATTAGATTAGTCAATTTACCTATCTCCTTGGGCAGCTCCTCTAACTGAGAATCTCTTATGCTAAGAATCTCTAAAGTGACAAGTTGACCAATAATGGATATGTCCTCCAACCTTAAATTACTCAGACACAACGTCCTCAGATTCGACAACCTCTGAATGGATACTGGAAAAGGCCAAACGGAGTACTCATATCCACTCAGGCTTAAGACATTGAGTTTACTCATCCCATCAAAAAAATCGTCTTGTAATTTGATTGGCTCTTTAAAATAGAGTTTCAACATTAGAAGCTTCAAATTTGGGCCAATTATTGGGCTAGGATGCTCATCAAATTTATTTGCAACAATTGAGACGTGACTATATTGCTCGTAAGAATCTTTTCTTGGGAACTCTTCTGAGTTCACATCATGACTTACCATAAATATATGCTTTCCCTCAGACGCAATATATATAGCCACATCACGAACTACATCATGCATTTTGACAGAATTTCTGTTTGAACCTTGGGATAACAAGAAACGATCTTTCAGTGTTTCTAACAGATGACACACTCTATTTCTTGCTCCTTCTATATTTTTAATTTCCAAAAAGATGCCAAGCCCCATTCCATATCTAAGTAATTCTTCAGTCGAAATATCACTATCTTCCTCAAACAAAGAACAAAGCAAAAAGATGTACCTGGCTTCATCACTTTCCAAGTGATCATAGCTTAGCCTCAGAGGTCTATACACCTTTGTGTGCACATCAGGGATATTTCTTGTTTCTGCATTGCGTAATTGTTTGAGGGCATCCTCCCACGAAGGCTTAGTTTTAAGCTTTAGTGCTCCTGCAACTGTAACAATTGCAAGCGGCAACCCCTTGCATTCTTTTGCAACATCTTTTGCTATGTCAAGTAGAGAAGGATCGACAACTGAGTTACCGGCTTTCTGCCTGAAAAGGTTCCATGCTTCCTCCTCAGATAAGGTTCCAACTTCCATGATCTTCTGAGCTTCCATTGATTCACAAACATGTCGGAAACGCGTTGTGAATGTCACTTTGCACCGATGTTTGTGGTTTCTACCAGTAGGAATTCCAAGTTTCTCTAGATCATGAAGAGCCTCCCAGACATCATCAAAGATTATAAGGATATTGTCCTGTCCTTTTAACCTTAAACGCAGTCGATCTCCACGACTCCATAAATTATCCCCTTCCAATGTTAGACCGACTCCTTCTGCAATCTCACCCTGAATTCTTTTAAAGTCCGGTTGCTGACCAACTGTTACCATGACAACATCATCAAACAACTTTTCTAGTTTTGCCCTTTGTCTGATTTTCTCAGCCAATGTTGTCTTCCCAACACCACCCATACCACATATCCCAATCATGGTGACAGCATCATCTCTCAAAGCTGCGATGACCTCATCCTCTTTCACTTTTCTGGAGTCAAACGCCTCACCACTGTTACTAACCATGGCTTCAGCTTCAACATGTGGTACAGGATAGCTGAAAACATCATACTTGTTGGCTTCATTTCTAAGTTCAATCGCCTTCAGTGTAATTTTCTTAGCTCTCCTGCTCAACA